AAAATGGTTAAACTGTCGTTTTCTTCAATATTGGCACAAGAACAATGCGCCCGTTTATCACAGCGGCTACATTTATTATTATTTTCCGAATAAATAAATATAAAAGTTTCAACTTACTCGTATTTTCTGTACCAGACGATACCGTCACTTCGCGCATGCTCAATTTCGCTATTTTGTAAGCAGACGATATTTGTTTTGGTGAAAAAAAATTTTATTTCGATTGTTATTTCACATTTTATTTCTCGTTAAGATAGTATTTAAATTAAAAAATGTTTTCACAAATAAAATAAAACGTAAAAACATAAATAATAAAGTAATGCAGTATATACTGTATAAATTTATTACAGTTAGATATGATTTAAAAGTGGAATATTTCATTTTCTATAAAAAGATCGTTTTAAACTTATTATTTTATATATTCGAAAAAATGATATAGAATTACCAATGACAACGAATTTAAAACTAGTTCGCTGCACTATATTACAGCGCCTGTAACCAGCGGCAGAATTCGTGGCCAACCTTGTGCAAGATGGGGTACCCCATCTTGTCACAACGTGCACTTTTCATACTGACCGCAAACACGGGTCAATTTTATTTCAAAACTAAACAATTTCAGTCTTAAAGGTTACTTCGAATACCATAATATCTTCGTCTAAAAAGTAATGTAAAAGTTCGTAATGATGTTTTCTTTGTAGAAACTTTGTAGAGCGGGCGTAAAATTAGATGAAGTATTGCCGAAACGTGGAAAACTGTCTTTCTTCCAAACAAAGAGCGCGATTCGGACGTTCTCTCGTCTCGTGATCTTTTTGAGGTTGACATTTAGTTCCTCAAATAACGGCTAGACGAAAGCGCGTTAACCACGAATAAACAGACGTCCCGTCTTACCCCATGGCCCCATCTTGCACCACCTTTCCTTCTCCTATAATTGTATATCCATCACACATTTTATTTTAACAAGTAAGTTTTTATAATTTTATTTTTAATTTTAGCCCTTATATCGTGGCTAGTGATTCAAAATGTAATTGTGATATTGAAAATTTATTTCAAAAAAGTTTTTGCTCGAGACCATATAATTAAAAAGAAAACATTATTAAAAGAGAAAGACCAATGCCTAAAAATACATTTAAAGAAGTGTACGGTTTTTACTAGCTTATCGAACAAATGAATACGAATGGACCCTGACGCACAATTAACTGATTGCTCCTTGTCAGCTTCTTACAGAAACACAGCTTCCTTATTATCAAATGTCACTGCACGCCACTGATGTGTTGGAGTTTATTTGTACAAAAATGATTTGAATTCGTTCTTAGATTATGACCGAAGATAGAATAGGGTGACATGGTAAACAATCTTGTCTTAACAACATAATTTAACTTTGTTCTAAATCAGTTCTAAATCAACATGTTCTAAATCAGTTACAGTTAGGGACTAGGGACTTGCGTAGGAGTAACGTAAGTAACCTAGATTAAGAAAGAACAGGTACAGATAACTTAGCTCTATTTGAGACGTGTACATGCAAAAATACATGCAAAAATAAAAAAAGAAAGGTCAACAGGATGCATGTCACACGTCTGCATAAACAGACTAACAAGGCAGAATTGCAGATGAATTTCAGTGAGTGTGAGTTCTTTTGCTGTTAAAATAGTGTAAATTTGTAAAAATATTTGCAAGTACTTTTTCTTCATAATTCACTATTTCTATGAAATTCCTGGACAAAATTAATAGTTCTCCTGGACAGTGAGTCAATTCCTGTACTGTCTGGGTGAAAACTGGAAGGTGGTAACACTAGGTGGTGGTCTTGGGGGCAGTCTGGGCCAGAAAAGGGCACTTTATGCCACTTTCAAGTTTTGTACACAGAAAAATTTTGTCCATGTCAAAGCAAATAGGCAAGCTTGCCTTTTTGTTATGGCATGAACAAAATTTGGAGTGTGTGTATATACAGTATATATATTATACATTTATATTGTATAATTATTCAGAATACAAAACTTCAAAGTGCATAAAGTGGCCTTCTCTGGCTGGGACCACTCTGAGACTATCATCACTACCACCAATCAATTTATTTCATTGAGTTATGTAATAAATAAAAATATCCCAAGCTACCCTTTGCTTGACTATATCTTCTCTGACTATAACTATGCCAGCATAAGAAGTAAAGAAGGCTATTATATATCTTTGTAAACTCTCATAAGATATTACTGTAAAAATCTATACTGTCATCAGATATGCTTCTTAGTGATCTTAATTTCAGTTAAATGTATTTATTGTCCAATATTTATTTCAGTTCTAAGTTTATGTTTAAAAAATTTTTTAAAGCAAAAAGATATTGTTTATTAATAATAGTACAGTTGTCCGTCTATAGTCCGATGTTTTTTAATCCGACATGCCCAGTAGTCCGACGCACCTCCCGTCAAGGTACCCGTCCCCGTTACATGTCTGCTTGCACAGAAGCATGTCACGATGTGAATCTCCCCATCCAATTCTTACTTGATGACACACATTTCGTGTGTTTTATGTGAGCAGTTCTGTTCGAACAGTTGGAGTAGAGAATATTGTAAGTTACTGCTAGCAAAACAATGCGAAATATGTAATTATTTTCGGTAATCTGGACACTTTTGGTAATCTGACACACCTTTGGTCCCATACCTGTCGGATTATCAAGGGACAACTGTA